ATTGAGAGAGAAAAGAGCCATGAAAAACAGCTTGGAGATGGTGATAGGGAAATGGTTATAGACCAAACTGAGAAAGAAAATGTTGCAGATGAAGAGCATGGCCGTTCTACGGGTCAGTCTTCATAATCTTTTCTTTGTCAATTTTGAAACTTTGTGACATGTAACATCCATTTTCTGATATGAATCTGTGTGCTTTTTATTTGAACAGCTCCAGAACCTATGGATATCGTGTTGACTTCTACATCTCAGACATGTCACATTCCTAATTCTGATGTGCGGATTTTAGAAGGGCATACTTCTGAGGTACTTTAGAAGGGCATAGTTGTTTTCCATCTTCACTGGTACTTATTTCATTAAACCTAGTCACCATTATGCTGAGATTACGAATCTGTCTATATTACTGATTTAGGTTTGTGCTTGCGCATGGAGTCCGTCGGCTTCGCTTCTTGCATCAGGGTAAGTAGTTTTGTTGAGAAAGATGAATGCACTTAGCAAATAATTTTGTTTTCTTATTTCATTTATACATACTTTTGTAAAATATCAGGTCTGGTGATGCAACAGCACGTATCTGGAGCATTCCTGAAGGGTCATTTAGATCGCATACTGCTCGTAGTATCAACGCTTTGATCCTGAAGCATGCAAAAGGAAAGTCAAACGAGAAGAGCAAGGATGTGACCACTCTTGACTGGAATGTGAGGGCTTCTGCATTTTTCTCTGTTTAAAAATTTATCTATACCTGGATACTGCTTATTTCTGGCTGTCCTCTATTCTTCTAAGATAAAGATTCTATGTAGCATTTCGGGATTCGTTTAATGCGCCTTAGATTCTGCTAATACGTGTTTTCTGATTTCTGTATTTTTAGGGTGAAGGGACTTTACTTGCAACTGGTTCTTGTGATGGCCAAGCTAGAATCTGGACTACAAATGGTATGTCGACGTTGGTTACTCCTTGCCCTTTGTATCATTCTCATCTCTGTTTGCTGGAAATTAATCATGTTTTTATTATGAATTGATGGAGATGCTCAGTCATTTATGTCTAGCTTAATATCTCTATGTGTCCTCCTGGTGTGAGCTACAAATCGCGAGGTTCGAGTTATGTGGGCTTTGATAGTAACACGATTCCGTGATTGAAAAAATAAAGAAGCTATTAGCTAGTAAAAAGTTTATAACTCTGCATTGGGTACCTTATCCTTGGCCAAAAGTTTTACTTTTCTTTTGGTTTAACTCTGCATTGGGTACCTTATCCTTGGCCAAAAGTTTTACTTTTCTTTTGGTTATGTTTTGGAGAGTCGGCTTCTGAAGTACAAATTTACTCTTTTACATTTGCAGGTGACCTGATAAGTACTCTGAGCAAACACAAGGGACCTATTTTTTCACTCAAGTGGAACAAGAAGGGTGATTATCTTCTAACCGGAAGTGTCGATAGAACTGCTGTTGTTTGGGACGTAAAGGCAGAGGAGTGGAAGCAACAATTTGAATTTCATACAGGTACAATTTTTTATTTATTTATTATGAAACCTCATTTTGAATAAAGTTTTTTTCCTCATACGTATGATATTGTATGAAATTGAGAATATAGGTCCAACTCTTGATGTCGATTGGCGCAACAATGTGTCTTTCGCAACGAGTTCAACGGACACCATGATCTACTTATGTAAGATTGGAGAAACTCGGCCTGTCAAAGTCTTTGCTGGGCATCAGGTTTGCGTCTCTCATCCAAGTTTTTCCGATATCTTACCATGACGTTCAGTTTTTATTTAAGTCAAGTTCTATATCAATCGATAAATATCTCGCACTAACCATACTCGAGGATTCTATACTTGCAGGGTGAGGTTAATTGCGTGAAATGGGATCCTACTGGTACACTATTGGCCTCATGCTCAGATGATAGTACTGCTAAGGTTTCTGAATAAGTTAACCCTCTTCTAA